AGGTTATTGCAAACAAGATAATCAAACTTATATGGAATTTGCCCACGAAAAAGAGGTTTATTTTGATCGATGGTGTAATTCGATGCATATTGGCAATAGTTTCGACAAACTAAGACAATTATGTCTAATTGAAGAATTTAAACGTTGTGCACGTGACGACCTTTACTTGGATGAAAAGAAAGTTGAAACACTACAGGAAGCAGTTGCTCTTTCCGATGACTACACTTTAACACATAAAACCACTTTTCATAAAAAGAAATTTCTACCATCTCAACAAAAACCTGTATCTGATCAATCCACTAAAGTTGGGGATCCTTCTAAAAATCCAGCTCCTCTTGTTCGAAATATTCATACAGTCGGGCTAAAACTTCATCAAAACCATCAAGACCTGTCTGCTATTTTTGTAAAGCACCTGGTCATGTTATGTCTGATTGTTGGTGTTTAAAAAAGAAAAAAGAAAAGGAGGCAACACCCAGTACGTTTGTGTCCACATATGGACGTAGTTTCACCAGATCACCCAATGTTGTTGATTTGGCCACTGATATAAAGGCTGATGTAATCAGGGAGGAATTTAGACCTTTTGTGTCTGTTGGTTCTGTGTCTTTGACAAATGACACTTGCAATCACATACCCATATGTATTCTACGTGATACTGGGGCGACTCCACCATTGTTGTTAGAAGGTATATTGCCTTTAGATTCGCGTTCTGCCACTGGTGAGTCTATTATTGTTCAGGTTATTGAGGATGGCTTTGTTAATATTCCTCTTAATAACATTTATTTAGCATCAGATGGTTGTGGTTGGAGTAAGACCTACTCTGCTAATTAAGGGTGTATCATTGTTGTTGAGAAACGACTTAGCTGGGGGAAAAGTTGTTGCCGAACCTAAAATGGTTAACGAGTCGATCACTGTTTCATCTAAGGATGATGTTATCGTTGAAGAGAATTCTGATGTGTTTCCCTCGTGTGCTGTGACTCGAGCTCAGGTTAAGAAATTAAGCCAAAAACAAATGATAGACATAGATTCAGAGGACGATGTTATAGATTTGTCTCAGACATTTTTAGATCCGATGAGGATCTTGTGGATGATTGTCCTACTGATAATTCCTCGGTGAGGGACAACGATGGAGGTGAGGGATCTAATTTAGCCAGTGAAGTTCCGTTTATTTGAAGTAAACTGATCACTGAACAAGAAAAAGATCTGCAAATCTTTTCACTGTTTAAATGTGCCCTCCCAAGGGATGAACTGGAGAAAGATCCAAATTGTTATTTTTCCAAAAATGGTGTGCTTATGAGGAAATGGAGACCACCTGATGTACCAGCTTCAAAAGACTGGGCTATTGTTTATCAAATCGTTGTTCCCAAAGCATATCGTTCAGAAATATTGAAAGTTGTCCATGAACTTCCCGCGGGAGGTCGTTTAGGTGTCAACAAGACATGTGAAAAAAATGAGACATTTCTTTTGACCAAAAGTTAGGCAAGGCGTTTCTCAGTTTTGTAAAACTTGTCATACCTGTCAATTAGTCAGAAAATCTAACCAGAAAATTCCTGTTGCTCTTTTGAAACCTATGCCAGATTTTTAAGAACGTAAGTTCCGTCCTGAGGACATGGTCTTAGTATTGTTACCCACTATGGGATATCTAATCAAAAGAAAAGAAAGAAATAGAGAAGGAAAAAGACAGAAAGAAAGAAATAAGACTGTTAAATTGCAGTTTCTCGATACAAGAGTATGACTTGGGGATAATCCATGTCAAAAGGGTTGATAACATTTGTGCTGATGCACTTTCATGTGCTATGTAATTTTATGATCATAAGGTTCTTTTATTGATTGTGTTAGTATACTGTAATGGTTATTGAAGTTCTGTAATCCTTGGAAAAATGTATTATATTTAATGTATTATTGCCAATGTACATCTATCTATCTATATATATATATATATATATAATATCTTAGTTAAAAGTTGTCTAAAACCAATTTTTAATTCTTTAAGGAGAGAGTTGTGACGGATTTATTATTATATATTTATTTTAATATCGACGTTTGTTTAGATTAAGATTTATACTTAGAAATATACATAGCTTATACAGTTAAATATGTATTGCGAAACTCACGCCTATTCTCCAAAGTTGTACAAGATTCTCGAGAGTAAGAATCAACAATATATGTGTATACGTAAATGCTTGTGTTAGCATCAGTATTGTTACGTAAAACTGAAATTTCGAGAAACTTTCCACCTGCCTATAAATATAACCAACGGGACACACCAAAAACAGTATATATTATTAGTTTGCTATAGTCAGTGTGCTATAAACTTCGGAAGCTATAACTGTGATTGTTATAACTCTTATCAATCGGAAAACTTCAGATATTTGACCAGAAGCATTTACAAAGTTCGAACATTACAAATCATTTAACTTCAGTGGATTCTCATCGGACATGAGTATTTTCACGAAACCATTTCCTAACTTCAACGGTGGAAAACTTGGAGTGTGCGGCTGGTGAATAATGAAAGACAAAGCTAGCTAGCTTCTCGATTAAGTGAATTGTAC